ACAGACAGACAGACAGACAGACAGACAGACAGACAGACAGACAGACAGACAGACAAACAGACAGAAAATTGTCACTCTGTAGAAAAAAGAGGGACTAGAAATGCACAAACACGTAAACAAGGAGAGAGGAATTGTGTGTGAGATGAAAAAGACCTTATGTAGTAGCCTCACTCACCTCTAAAATGAGTGTCTAGGTCAGTAGACAGACATAAAGTAGCCTACACTCACCTGTAGGATGGTCGTCTCAAGCTATACAGAAATTTATAAAGTAGCCTGCACTCACCTCTTGGAGGTTTGTCTAAAGAAATACACACAGACATAAAGTAGCCTACACTCACCTCTAGGACTGCTGACTAAAGAGATACAGACAGACACAAAGAAGCCTACACTCACCTCTGGGATGTGTGTCTAAAAAATACAGACAGACATAAAGAAGCCTACACTCACCTCTAGAATGGGTGATCAAAGCAATACAGACGGACATAAATTAGTATCCTAAACTCACCTCTAGGATAGGCGTCCAGGGCAGCACAGACTGGGACATGAAGATCATGCCACACCTGGACACGGTGGCGGGCGAGGCGTTGTCAATGTTGTGTACCTCAAACAGGATCTTACACGTCGGGGCCATGGGAATTCGGTCACCGTTAGCCAGGGTCAAGGTCTTGTTGTCGTCAAGCACAGAGTTGAGGTTTTCTATCCAGATGGCGTCCACTGGACCGTCCAGGATTAGCCACACGTGGTCACCTGAGAGATGACGGGGGAGGAAATGTTACGTCATTTATTGCCAGAAAGCATTACGTAATTCCTAACCACGCATGGTCACCTGAGGTAAAACACAGACAAGTGTTACGTCATTTACAGCTACATGACATGGTCAAATGAGGGAAAACAAGGGGAAAAGTTATGTCATTTAGAGCTACACGTGGAGACATGAGTCATGTCAAGGAGGGTGTTTCGCAATTCACATTCACATGTGGTCACTTGAGTCATACGAAGGAAGGTGGGGAGGGGGATGTTATGTCATTTACAGCCACACGTGGTCACCTGAGGAATGACCGTAAAGAGGGGGGGGGGAGTATTAGTAGGCCTTTTTTCGGCTTATGTAACATAGTTAGGTTATCCTGCATACAAGTGCAGAAGATTAGAGGTATTACAAGAAAGTAACAAACACAAAACAGGAGGAGGACGACCGGAGAGATAAGGCCGATAGATGTTTGCTAGGAAAGAAGGAGCAGACCACACCAGACCACCCGCAAACCACCCACCTTTCTTGACTTTGAGAGTGCGGCGCCACAGCGTGGAGAAGATCCCGTCCGTCCAGTCGTTGGTGGCAGCATCCAGTCGGCCGAACATCTGCGGGGCCGTGATGGCCTTGGGGTTCATGCGCATCTCTCTGTGGGGCTGGCCCAGGTCCTGGCGGTGACAAACATGTGCACACCGTGAAAGTACACCTTACAACACACA